AATGCACCTTTCAAAAAATACACAAACAACATTTAAGATAACAAGCAAATACGTCATGAGCAAATATTGACAATCGACAGGAACAGCAACTGCAACAAAAATTGAAACAGGAGCAACAATAGCGGCGGGCGTCGCTGCATGAGACGAATTTACCACAGCAAATAAAACCAGGCGGTAAGTAGACATCAGTTACATGCTCGAGCAATTATTCAATCATTTATGCAATCATTCATTCATTCAATCATTTATTCAGTCAATTATTCAATCGATCTATTATTTAGTTACTCGATAATATTTTTTAAATCAATTCTTATTTTACAAGTATGGTTGTCACAAATTGTAGGCAATTTAGAATTGAATTTTTGTTGAAAAGTTCGGATGGGTAAGTGCCATTTCAGATACTTCCGGTTTGAATTAGTTGGACTATGGAAAAATGCGCCTCAACTATACACTTGTAGACACGTAATTGCAAATCGCAACATAATTTTGACTTTTACCGTATCCATTATCTTTTAATAGATATGCATTTTTTATAGTAAGACAATAGCACCCTTGGATCAAAGGCTTACCCAAAATTCTGCGATATGCTAGGACGTGATATTTCGCAATGTATAATCTATAGATTTTATTGTGAAGAGGGAAGCACCGCTGCTAAGGATGCGTTTTCATTACATACAAAAATAGTTGTACTAAAGTGACTAGTTGTGTTGAACAAATCTTTCGTTTTAGCCTCGCCAATCACAACTTATGTTCAATTTGTTTTAAGAACGACGAGAATAAGGTACATTTTCCGAGTTTTTGCTCCTCTTTAAACAGAAGTAAGACTTATAGTACTTGAATCCAATCTTGCAAGTAGCTTAAATAGTTCTTCAGCTCTTACAAAAGTTCTTATGGAAGTTAGACTTATAATACTTGAGTTACAACTAGCAGTTCCCTAGCTCTTCTAAAAGTTCTGTACAACCTCAAAAGCAACAAATTTATGTAAATGATTGGAATATGATTTACAGCTCAAGGACTGCTTACGGCTCGTATATGTTTTTAATAATGATTTTTTAAACGGGTAAAATCTCAAATAAGGAGTCAATGTATTCCAACTTCAAGATCAAAAAATATGCTGGTGACATAAACGAGTTGCCTTCGTTCGTTATTAATCGTTGAACTGATTAATTTTTTACATTTCAATTTGTTATATATTTTAGAACATAAAAACATATAAATACATTTAATACTTATTAGAATAAAATTTATAAAATAAACCAAACTATATCAGCCATTAAAACCACCTTTTTAATAAGTGGCTGTAAAAAGATACATAGCACTTATACCATGAAGGACCATAGTTCTGTGTCCCATAGATTTTGAAGTTTTGGCTTTTTATACTGGCTTTTTTATATCTTTTTTATCAAGTGGATTGTTTTGCATCTCTTAATTGCAAAAATTTATCAATTAAGCTCAACTTCTTTTTGACTGCTATTCAACAGATATAGTTATACTACATTTAAAGAACTTTCCACGTTGATTAACAATTTTCATTTTTAGTGCAAAACTAAAACAGAATTTAGTGAAGTTTTTAGCACGCATCGTGAACACCATAACCATGGCATCCTTAGATTAAAAGTTTACTATACGTTTTGTATATATTTAACGTTTTGTATTGAGCCTGGTTGCCTGTTATTGAGTTGCAAAATCAGAAACTTCAGATTTTTCTTAAAACGCCACGCCATTCACAAATTAAATATTAAAATATATCAATTGTTTGGATATACATTTTAAAATGTCAACCACAACGGCGGAAGGAGCAGCAATGCCACTTCTAAATATAGTCCTATATACACAGACATGTGAATGTGCGATATATAGTATATATACGCGTATATAGAATATGGTGCCGACGTAGCTCAGAAAGCGATTAAAACGATTGAAGTGTTTGACGTTTGCCTGTTACAAAAGTAAACATTTTGATATTTTACTTAGGAATATCATGGACGAATTCAGTTTGATTCGCGTTTGATTGTATGACGCGTGTAAGTACTTGAGTACATTTTCAACCAACGCAACATTCAAACAAGTCTATATATATTACCAACAATACCAGAATACATATTTAAATATTTGTATCGAATTTTTAAGTATAACAGCAGCTAATATCAAACCGATTCACCGCAACGACAGGCGCAAACATACGTGAAAGTCGAAATGGAGCAAATTTTATATTAGTTTCACGAGGCACGAATCTCTAAATATTTACCTTCCTAGAACAGATACATATATGCTAATAAATAATATCATGACAGTTACATTCAAAAGTGATATCATATATGCATGGGTTTGAATTTGTTTAGGCAAAATGATAGAATGGCAAACTGTATTTATTATTCAACGAATTATAGAAGCACATCCATGGGATGATATCTTAAAAATTTAAGATATCATCGTTGTCTTTAACAACGATTGAGTCCTATTTAATTAATGTGGAAATTACGTTGCAAACTATATAGACTGTGTAGAATATTTTGTGCCCATAGATGATTTACGCGGAACGTTAACTTGAATAAAGGATTAACCATTTTATGGTTGTGAAAGAAAATGTATATCAAATAAACTTGTGTTCGAAGTTTTAAATATAATAAATATATCGTTGAAATGTTCTTCGCAATACATCTTATAGTACTATGCCCTTTTGGGGTAATTTTCGATGACTTGTTGGCTCATAGAATAATCGACAAGTCATATAAAATGGCCATAAATATGATTTTTTCGTCATTTCACAACAAAAAGTCCAGTGATGACAAAACACATGATCTTTATAGACAGGTTTCTAATTCACAGCACCAAAACATGAGCCATGTGGTTTCTAGACAAAGATCTACGCCCTAGAGCTATCCGTTAGAGAATGTATACGTAGGAGCACTTGCAACACTAACAATTGTATCCACTCACACAGTCAAACAGCTCTGAAATCACTAATGAAATTCACATTCCAATCGAAGTTAGTTTGGGAGTGTTTCAATACTCTCAACATCCTAGCGACAAGGAATTCTGTGACTCTGCTATGGATACTGGGAAATGAGAGTCACGAAGGCAATGAAAGAACGAATGTTATAGTCAAAAATAGAGCAATAACACCTATCATATACCCAAAACCCTTTTGCGGAGTTAACAAGAGCTTCAAACTTAACTGATTTGTGGAGAGCCCAAAAAGGTATGCGGCAGTCAAAAAGTGTTAGTATCTCTGAACATATAAAGGCTGAAGCTAATCTAAACTTAAGAAGAAAAGACATCAAACTCAACACTGAACTACTAACAGATCACTGTAGATTACGATAAAACCTAAAAAAGATTGGTTTGGCAGACGATTTCTATCGACTCTGCCAAGAGCAACAGGTAACAGCTTAATACGTTCTATGCGCCTACCTAGTCGTGGCAAAACGCAGACTTGACTATCTAGGCAGTGGTATTTTGTGCCCTAAACACTTAGTTAAAATACTGTCACACCTGTCAGGAAATTCTTTAGAAGTTTAGAATTGGACTAGTTGAGCGATAATTCCGTATTCCTGATTCTTGTTGCCTGATATTTACTTTTGGTAAATCCTGATTTTGGTATAACATAAAATGTATACACATATAGCGTATTATATAGTAATCTAAGTGTCCCATAATTTTTATGGGGTATTTTAGGCATAATTTTAGGGAGGGATATTCTTTCATACTCATATTTGTTAATTTATACCTTCAGTTACCTGCAAACTGGAGCTTTGTCACTGAGATGGTTCTATAACCAAATACATAATTATCTATCTATCACCACTGTGTATTGCCTAATGGCAGTATCTAGACACGGTTAAGGTTAGTTACCAAGGAAAGGCCAAGACAAAATATACTGAGCCCTACACACTGTAATCTATCTCATAGCATAGTTTACTCCCATTCGCAAACTGATAGAAATAGTTGAAATATAAAAACAAAAATTAAAATAAAATAAAAAATACAGATATTTTAACTATAAATGTGACTGAAAGAATTATAATTAAGAATACAGTCAAATCTCCTTTCATTATATTGAAAATTATATTGAGAATTTTTATTCGTGGATGACATATAATTCATATGAGACCCAACTTAATAAGAAAATATAGTTATGACACAATTTTGTATGAAACTTTTAAAAGATTTATGATAGTTATGATAGAGAACGTAATAGATATATATAAAATTATAACAAATCAGTTAAGAGAGCAGTACTCTATATGTCAACTATTTAAATTAAATTTATTTGAATTTTCCTTAAAAAAAAACTAAAAACAGTTGATCTCAAATAAAGAATTGGGATTATGCCACTATAACTGAACAATTTTAAATAATCTTCTGCCATAACAACCGAAATTGTTTATTCAGAAACTTTTTTTGACCTGGTATGTGTATAAATAAACCATCAACCTTAGCCAGCAAACCAAACAAAACCGAACCAACCGAAAATTCAAAATCCATCCACAATCTTTGCTTTGCTCTCTTAAAGTTTTTCAAACGTGAAATCGTTACGAAATTAAAAACAAAAAATTCAAAGCAAACACAGTACCAACAGTATTAGTAAAAAAAAACCGTACAGCTCTGAGCTCTGTGCGATACGCCAGAAGTTTTTTCTTCGAGTTCAAACTTTTCAAGGAGTCATTTCCGCAAATGCAAAATATTTCTTTGCTTTGGACAGGCGTACAAAAAGAATATTTGAGAGGATGCATGAGTTTAATGGTATCCAGAGGAAAGCAATTGAACTGTCATTGAAACATTTATAGAAATTTAAAGTTCTGTAACTGCTTCAATTTTTCTTGAAGTGTTTTTTTCTCATCATCTATTCAATGGGGAATAAAAACCCTGTTTTATAAGGAAAGGCAGAAAGTATGGTGACAACTTCAAATGGAAGAAATATATATAATCAAAAACAATAATAAATGTATTCAATGAGAGTTTTATATATTTTTATTAATCAATATTTAATTACTCACCTGATATGTTGCTGGATCTAATACTGCTAAAGATATAAACAAATTGAAGGAAGTTGCAGCAAGAGAAATCATCTTCACTGTTACATCATCACCTGCAAATGGACAACATATGTATTTTTAAATAACAAAATAATTTATAATAAAAACTGTTTTTCTATTTTATTATAACTGAAATGCCGTAATAAAACACTTAAACAACAACGCTGAGAGTGAGGAATTCAGATAAAGCGGAAATTGACTTAATTTCCTTTCCTTCCGAAAACTCACGTCTATGCATTGTTTTGAAAGTAAACCGTCCGTAAAATGCACTTTAGGCTTGATTATCGAAGAAGTTATAAAATGTGCCACTGAGTAATCAAATTAGCGAGTCGGTTCAATCATAAATACCAGGTTAAAAACAGACGCACACACTTACCAGCAGTTGCAATATTAACGTAAAGGCAGGAAATAGCACCAAATATTTGAGTTGATTTTATCGTTTGCAGGAATCTAGACGCGTCGTACGATCCTGAAACTACAATAAAAAAAAGGATTTCAATGACCGCGCAGTAAGATTTTTTTAAAGCAAAATTTGTAAACTAAAATAAAAGAAAATTAATCGAAATGTGTGAAACACCATTGAGACCAATTTAGGTACAAATTGTTGTTTTATCTTTGCTGTAATTCATTGATTACTCACCATTTGGGCATATATCCACGAACCTCGTTAATAATCCAACTGTGGCTAAGGTTGAGAGCATAAGGTTTGCATCTTCGCTAATGGGACCTTGGATGGAAAGGCAATGTTGCGAAAGGACATCAATGAGTCCAATCATCACAGCATAACTGAAAGTATTTAAAAAACAAATGCGTTAAAATTTATTTATTATTATATATGATATGTATATGAATTATTTTACAAGTTAATACTTTTTTTAACGAACAGGGAAAATCTTATGACTATAAAAACGCTTATTTATACTAATTACCATGGCCATGATGAGGGCCATGATGTTTTTTTATTTCTTTTTATATTTTTTTTATTTTTTTCTTATTTTTTTGTATTTTTTTTTTTATTATTGCCACTTTCCCCACTCTCTACAACATTTATTCCAATGTTAGGTCCCTCGATTCTGGCGTTATATGCTGACGATACGTGTATGCTATACTCAGATAAATATGCTCTCAACATAACGAACACACTTCAAGAGCATATAAATCTTATCTAGAGTATTTTCAGAAATGGAAAATTAAAATCAATAATGAAAAAACTAAGGCTCTGTTTATAACGCGTAAGTGGAGACAGAATCCGTCGAGAGTGAGAGTGGGTGATATGGTGATAAACTGGGAGGATAGCGTTGAATATCTCGGCATCACGTTGGACAAACGATTCACATGGCTTAAACATGTTCAACTGAAAAGAATTAGCTGCGCCAAAATTCTTCATTACCTCCAACCGCTATTTAGAAATGAAAACCTCAATGCTAAGAACAGGAAACTGATATATAACCAAATAATTTGTCTGTCACTTCTATATGGTTGTGTAGCGTTTAGCAAAGCTTCAAACACTACTACTCACCAGTTAGAAGTTGCACAAAGCCAGGCTCTGAGAAGACTTTTCAAAGTTCCTTGGTACATTAGGACGAATGACATCCTTAGGGACCTCAAGATTGATCCCATCAAAAATACATAAAGGATAGAGCCCTGAAATTATTTGCGAAATCTGACAGACTTACTAACACCGCGTTATCAAATCTCAGAATGGTTACAGGCTCCTCGGGGAGGTATGCAGATCTGAGGTCAATTATTGCCTAGTCTGATGAAGTGATAAACAATAATCCAGTCAAGGCGCAAAGAGGGGTTTTGAAGAAACCTCGCAGTTAATAGAGAGTAAAAGTGCTCAGGTGCACTGACTCAACTTGCCTCAACATAATAAATAGAATTATATTTTACAATATTTATTTAAAATCAAATACAGCACGGAAGTTACAGTAAAGTAAAATAATTAGAAATTAGTGTTTGGGATTTTAATTTTTTTTTCTTGTTTTCAGTAAAAAGGGATTCCAATTTATTTCAAGTCTTATAGTGATTATCAGTTAAAGTGAGTATCATTCGTTTGTAAATAAAAATTCAGAATTCTGAATGAGTCTTGTCTGCATGAATGAATCGCAACTGAATGAATCGCATCCAATAATTCAGACTTATATATAATGCTTAATAATATCGTCATCTGTAGGAAAGCTTGATATACAAATTTCATTGTCAAGCCTAATACAATCGTTAAGAGAGAAGCATTGGAAGTTATTTTATTTACTTTAAACCACGCTGCCAGCGACTGACATTTGAACAAAGAAGCAACTTAAGAAAGAAAAAATTCAACATTTGGTTGGGAAAAAGGAACTTCCCATAACAGCAAAATGCATTTATACTTAAAACAAAAATTCGACTTATAGAATGCACTTTCCCATATTTCTATCGGCACGTAACAAAATTTGTGACCGAGTTATAGAGAAATTCGAGTTATAGAAGTTCGAGTTATGGAAGCAGAATTGTATGTAATATGTTCTCTAAAACCTTAGTGCACTGTTTTTGGTTCGAGTTATAGAAAATTCGAGTTATAGAAGTTCGAGTTATAGAAGTTCGAGTTATAGAAGTTCGAGTTATGGAAGCAGAATTGTATGTAATTTGTTCTATAAAACCTTAGTGCACTGTTTTTGGTTCGAGTTATAGAAAATTCGAGTTATAGAAGTTCAAGTTATGGAAGTTTGACTGTATCTAGTACTATTTTGATAAAAATTGTTTACAGCATATAAAATTTTGCAGATACTAGATATCCTATATAGAATAACCCATATCTCAGAACACAAACCAACTACGAATTGTATTTTTTTTTTTCATTTGCTCAAATAAAGATTAAAATTCCAATAAACATTACAATAATTAGCCTGATATATTGATTTGTGTATTAGTCTATGAAACAAATTTAAATTTGAACTGTGGAAAGCTTCCGTTTAAGCAGTGAGAATTAGAAAAAACGAACATGATTTTCAGAAATAAATTTCAATGTATTATTTATAATTCCTTTTTTTTTGTTGAGATACGAGAAACGCAACACTTGCTTCAACTATTATGGGCAAAGGATAAGGATAGGAAGTGCGACGTAATTCGGCAAGGGTGGCTAAATGCAACTTTACACGCAATCATAAGCACTTACAACAAACACAGTTCGTCGAGGACGTATTTTTAAGCAGCGTGTGTATTTGACACTTGATAAAATATTTGTCCTCTAGGCATCCTTGTTATCCTTTTTGCTTAAGTGAATAAGGAGCAGGAAAAAAATATAACAAAATAGTAGTGGATAACTAAGCACACAGAGTAAACGGAAAATATGTGAGAAAAAAAAACAAAAAAATCAAAAAAAAAAAAAAAAAATTAAAGAAAAATCCTGTAACAAACACAAAATCCTGTAGGACACACACACATACACACATAAGCAAACATGTACTTGCACAATCATCAACACCACATCGACACATCAAAATAAGGAATATTTAGCGAACGTGTTTTTACAGCTAACAAAGATGGTAATTTTATTTGATTTTAAGTTCCATATTCTCTTATTTTCTTCCTGTGAACAAATTTTCAACCAGGAATTTTTTTCTTCGGTTTACTTGGCTAAGAATTTCTGCCACTGTTATTTTAGTAAAAATGCTCAGTTTTATTTATTTATTTTTCTGTACCATTGTACATGATAACGTTTGTGTACGTTGGCAATATTAAGCAGAGGACAATTTAGTGAAGCTTCTTCTAAACACAACATCTGACAGTTTAGTCTGGGTTCACCATGAGAAACGTCACCGTCAACTTCAACATGGACGAGCAGCAAAGTTTTGTTTATAAAATTTTTAGCCACTTGACACACACGCGAAGGCTCTCACATACAGCATATAAACATAGCATCTAACGCCAAAATGGCAGGACACAGACACAGTGTCCTGTGCCAAGAGCAAGTTCCAGAGAACATAATGTAAACATTGAAAAAAAAGGATACGTTATCATTTTGCGTCATTTAATATTTTGTTAGTTTAAAAAAAAATTGTTAAGAACATTTTTGTGGTGATGATGAGTTTGTTCACTTTGTTCACTTTTTTCAATTATTTCTTTTATTTGACCAGTCATCAAATAATGTCATGAACCTACGTTCAGTTCAAGAGGATCAAATAAATATAAGTGAGCCACATAAGTGAGACACATATAAAATAAATTTGTTGCCATATTTTAAGACCATCAAGATAACTACGTGTATATGTACCGATACCGAAGAAATACAGTAAGTTAAGCATTAGTTAAGCCTTAGAAATTTATTGAGTATGTTTACTTATAACAACTTTTGTTGGCACTCCGTCATTGCCACTACCCCAAACCCAAACCCAAACCCAAACACTACCACTTTTCGTGCCTTTGAATCACATTAATGGGAGCACACATTCATCCATTCACACATTCAGACATTTAGACATTCACCCATTCACCCATTCAGATATTCAGAAAAACTTCGGTTTTAGCAATGAACGCTTTAATATTTTATACACTTTTGACCACTTCTATGTGTCAAAAAGGGTCACAACACGAATTTTGTAGCAGTAAATCTGCTAGAGAACGTACTAAATGTGCTGGGTGTGTTGGATGTGCTGGATATGCTGGATATGCTGGATGTGTTGAAAGTGTAAATCATTTTCTTACTTTTGATTTTTCTTGCTTGCTATTGTAATATTCTTTTTCTTCTTATTATTTGTTTTATTATTTTATTTACTGTCATTCCCAATCAATCAATCACTTAAATTATATACAAAGATAAACTAACAAATTCACTCTGACTCACACAAACAAAATCAGATTCACTGTATGATTTGCTTTTGTTGGAATGCATTAGTGTGAATATGAAAAGCTCAATATTTACCCACAATTACCCTAATTCGAAATCGGCTCATGAAACTCCTTTTATATAATTTGTGATTTTGCGGTAATTGATGATGATTTGTCTTTCATTTGTTATGATAAATCACATATAGATAATGTTTATTTTGATGTTTTTAGTGTGGAAATCATCGTTATTAATTGAAGGAACAACCACCATAAACACGCTTATTTAAATTTTTTTTTAGTTAATTTTATTCTAATAACATTTTTTATTCTTAACAAAATCGAAGCCAATATAATAAATAGATTAATATAAACACATATAGTGCACATAGGCTTAATATAGTATTAAACCTATTATTATTATTATATAGTATATATAGTGTACAGTAAAGTAACGTCACCAATCTTAAAATGTCAATCGTTTAATTACTATGATTATTCAACAAAAACAATGAACTGAAATTTAAAGAACTTAAGTATATAGTATGTAGATCAATATGTAACTATCGATATCGATAACTATGGTTTGACAACTTAGAATGTAAAATTGTGTTGCCATTTCTTTTCATTAAGGTTTAGGCTTAAGCTCAGTAAGGTCTCATTATGAATCGTTTAACGCTAAAACAACGCTTACAAACTATGAATATTTACTTTGAAAAAATTAAATCTGTTTGCAAAGTCTATATAGTACTTCGTCGAAGAATTATATTTATTGATGAACCTCATTTCTGGTTAAATGGCTACGCCAATAACCAAAATTGTTATATATGAAGTGTAGATAATCTTTAAGTCGTTAACGAATACCATTACATCCATTAAAATTTACTATTTGGTGCGTTGGCGGTATAATCGTTCCTTATTTATTTTGAAATGAGGAAAGAGCTAGGAGCTGCCGTTACGGTGTTACGGTGAAGAGCGAGCAC